TCAGATGTAGAAGACACTGTAACTACATTACCTCGTCCAGTTGATAAATCGATGATGGTTCGATTGCAATTGAAACGACGTCTAAAATACAAAGCTGTATGGGAAGAACAATTAATAAATCCAAATGATGTAAGAGATGCACTATTTGTTTTAACTAAGATGCATCCAGGATATAAAAGTATAAAGATAAATGATATTCATGAAAATTATCTTACATCTGATCAAGAAAAAAACTATGACAATAACATTGAGTTAGTAGTTGAACCAATGGATGTTGACAACATATCAGAAGAAACTGTCATTGAACAAACAGAAGTATCTAATGAAAATAGTCTAAAAAGATTAGCTTTGGGTGATATTGATAATACTATTGATAGTGATGAAGAAATCAATGAAGATGATAAAGATATTCGTACTAAATATAATATTGGTACAGATTCATGTACTCAACCATGTGATTTTAATGATTTTTTAGTGTTTGATAAAGAACCATGCGTAGTGGCACCAGCTGAAAAAAATAAATTAAGTTCATTATTAACAGATAAAAAAATTGAAGCATTAGCCTTTCCTCATTTATTTCCAGATGGTCAAGGCTCATATGACGAAGATCGTCAAACAATTCTTAGATGGAAAGAATATTGTAAAGCACGTTTATTTTCATCAGATTCTCGTTTTGCTTCAGATTCAAGTTACATCTTTTATCTACAGTATTTAGGTGACTTGAAACAAGTATACTCCGGAATTAATATTGCTTTCCGAAAAAAATTACCAATGAATGCTAAACAAAGCTTAGATGAAATGCAAATGAAATTTCTTATGAAAAAAGATATGATATATCGTCATTTGCAATGTGTTCGTGGTAGTCCACAATACTGGTATAAACGTTTAAAAGACTTATTCGGAATGACACGTCAACTAGGTTTTCCAACCTTTTTTCTTACACTATCATGTGCTGATCTACGTTGGAAAGAATTCACTGATACTTTTGTACGTCACACTGGAGCTCCAATAAAAGAATCATATACATTTAAAGAAAAAACAAAGCTTTTACGTGCGAATCCTGTTCTAGCTGCACGTTTGTTTGAAAAACGATTTAATACATTTATGAATTTATTTATTAAAGGTGGAGCATCGTGCCTAGGCATTGTAGAAGACTGGTTTGCTCGTATAGAAATGCAAATGCGAGGTTCACCACATTCTCACATGCCACTTTGGGTAAAAGGTGCACCTGTTTACATTGGATTACAAACCGATGAAAAAACTCGTGAGGAAATCGTTAAATTTTGTGACAAATATATTACGACACGATTCCCATCATTAGAAGAAGATCCAATATTACACTATCTTGTCAAAGAATTACAGACTCATTCTCGTAACCATTCAAAGTCCTGTTTAAAATTTTATAAAATGTTGTGCCGTTTTGGATTTCCTCGGCCTGTTGCTCGACGGACATTCATTTGTGAACCATTAAAAGCTGAGAATGATGATGATAAACAAAAATTTAAAAGAATGAAAGAAATTCTTACTGAAATGAATGCAACGATGAATAAATTAGAAAAAGAAAAAATTTTGTCATGGTCGGATTTTGATAATCTTCTAGCAAAGTATAATTGGACCTATGAGGATTACGAATGTGCTCTTCGTGTTGTTCATACTAGAACGACCATGATTCATAAAAGAGAACCTAATGCACGATGGGTTAATCAATATAATGAAGAAATATTGAGAACATGGAATGCTAATATGGATATTCAATTCGTACTTGATCCATATGCTTGTGCAAAATATCTTATGTCATATACAACAAAACCAGAACGAGAAATGAGTTTATTATTAGAAGCAACTCATAAAGAATGTCGTGAAGGAAATATGTCCGTTCGAGAAGAAATGAAAAAATTAACAGGTACATTTTTTAATCATCGACAAGTCAGTGTACAGGAGGCTATTTACCGTGCAACTAAAATGCCACTAACATATTCAAGTCGAGGTTTTGTTTTTGTACCAGCACATTCAAATAGTTGTAAATTTTTAAAATCACAAAATATATTAAAAGAATTGGATCCAGATGACGAAAATATTTATATGTCTAACTTAGCTGACAAATATTTTGATAGACCAGAAGAACCGGAATTCGATATTTGTATGGCAGATTTTGCTTCTGAATATGAAATCATACCGATTAATAAGAACATTAAAAATCCAAAGACTCCAATTAAACGATTACAAACATTGAATTTTGCTATTAAAAAACGTTGTAATCGTAGTGCTATTATACGGTATCCATATTTTAATCGAGAAACAGATAGAGAAAATTATTTTGAAAATCTTCTTTCTCTCTATTTACCGATAAGAAGTCGAAGTGAATTGAAAAAACCTTATGAATTGTTTTATGAAATAGGTGAAATATTTGATGCTCGACAACAATGTATAAAAAAGGTAAAAGAAGTTGTCAATGAAAATCGAAAAAAATATGAAGCTCATTGGAAAGAAACAGATGAAGCGGAATCATTATTTAATCAATTATCCGTAGATATGAAAGACAACGAATGGGCTGAAATTGTTGCTAATAAAGAAAAGGATAATATATGGTCAGGAGATATTGAACGCGAAGATAATCCCGATTTTAATATTATTCATAAAAGAAAAAATAAAAATACGTTCATTGACTTGAAGCAAACTTTTGCTACTACAGATGAAATAAGACCCTTCTTAGAATC